AATATCAAGGGAGAACATCAAAAGTCGCACATATGCCACAGGTATACTGAACAAAGGATGAGCCACAGAGACACATTGGAGAGAAATAACCAAATTATACTAGTGGGTCTCAATATGTATTCTGGTCTCAAATCCAAATTGTTTCATCAAAAAGCTTTTTATTGTAAATGAATCCAAAATTTGACCTCTACTTTAAAATTATCTTCACTTGTGTTCGCAAGATAAAGTTAATTTTTTAAAGCTTAAAACAAAAATTTTCCTTGCCTCACTTAGCTCTCTGGTCAGTATCATCTTTCCTACAGTCATTTTCCCTGCCTGTTCTTCTATATGGATTAAATACTATCCAGAAGCCAAAGCACTGACCTACACATGGAAGTTACTAAACATCACATATGGAAAAGCCTATCAGATAGAACTTCCATATAATTCGATTAATTAATGTTACCACAATACTATCTTGATATGGAGAAAACTCAGAATGCAAAAACCAACAATGATCAATTAGGGCAACAGAAAAAACCTTATGGGGGAAGGAGGGATAAAGGAGAATAGTAGAGGGAGTGAATTCAAGTGCCATATATTTGATACATTGTAAGAACTTTTGTAAATGCAATGTACCCCCAACCCAGCACAATAAAAAAAAAAAAACTTGTATTTTCAAATAATTTAACAGAATAGTTATAAAGTTCAAAAAGAAACATTAAAACTATTCTAAAGACATTACTTTACAGTTTCTAAGCAATTTCATGTTGTTTTTCTGACAATTCACTTAAGAAGGTGTATGATGTGATTCATTACTGTTTTGAATAACTTCTGAATCTTGCCTACCTATAGAACAATGAGTCATACTCCCAGTCCTCTATCTTCACATATAAGTCGTTTTTCACTATCCCACATCAGGTATTAATTTTCAGACAATCTACTAAGAGCAATCATATTTCTTATCCCCGCAGAGATCTATGATCTCTTTTGTACCTCATCCTAACAGACAGGCAGAGAGAGGCATCAGTTCTTTATCACAGACAACTCAGGAAGATCAAAGATCTTTCCAAAGATGGCAAAATTAAGTACTAAAACAGCAGTGCATCCAGGAGGTGGTCAGAAACTCCATGAAGAGTGGCTAAAGGCGGGTAGGGAAGGCATGGGACCATACACAGGTACACTCATACCCTAAATACAAATTCTGTCATCAGGCACATGAAGGGCTGTCATATAAAGGAATGGGATTTGTTAAAAACAAAGGCAACTCAACACTCACTCAACAAACATTTACCGATTATCTACTCTATGCCTATGCTTCGGAATACTAGTGATGCAAAGATGAGTAAAACAAGCACCAATCCTCAGGACATTAAGACTAGTAGAGGAAACAAGAAAATAATATAGGATGAAAAGTACTCAGGAAGCTATGGGAGCACAGAGAATGAATAACTAGAAACTCGGGGGGATGAGATGATGAGTTTCAGAAGTGGACAGTTTGGGAAGTGGCTCTAACAGGAAGAAAGAGGTTGTGGGTGTGCCTCAAAGTGTTAGAGCACCTGCCTAGCAAGGGCCTGAGTTCAAACCTCAGTGTGGTCACAAAAAACACCCAGGAAGAAATAACAGCATGTGAAAAAGCAGGGAGGCAATTCATCTGGAGTGGGGAAACACAAGGTACACATTACCGGTAACAAGAGAGGAGTGTTTACATTGGAGTTGGGAGAAGCGGTAAAAAACACAAAGGGTCTCACAATCTCCATGCCAAGGGGTTTAGACTCTAATACCAAGCTATGGAACACTCCTAAGAAATTTTAAGTGAAGTGCCATGATTAGAAAAAAAGTTTCAGAAAGCTCATTCCAACAGGACAGACTTCTAAAGGGTTAACAGAGCAGACAAAGAGATTTACTGTACAGCCATTATTGCTAGTCCAGGTGGGGATAAATATGAAAAGATATAGCTTCAAGAAATACCTACTGATGATGGAAATGAAGGAAAGAGGAGGTCCTCTAGATCTCAATTTGGACAAGTGGATGAACAGTGATAGCCAAGGCAGGTAACATAGAGAAACAAATCCATGTACTCATTCCAACAATGTGAGGAGTCTCGGCCAGGAATTGATTTGTTATTGTTGGAGAAAGGGGATGAGGGAAGCAGGAGGAAAGAGGAGTGAAAATGAGTTTGCCTTTGAACCTGGACAATGTAAGGTGCCTAGTCAGTGAAGGGTAACGAGAGGTATGTGAAGAGTAGGCTAGGAGAGTCATTTGCTGACACAGAATTCAGTAACTTTAGAAAAAACACTATTCAGTGAGTGGGTGAAAGAAAAACCTAAAAAGCAAATGAAGAATCCATGAGAGAAGTGAGTGGTGAATCAAGTGTCATGTTGATGTGACAAATGCAAGGGAAGAGGAAAAAGTCCAAGAAGAGTGGACTTATTACGTTAAATGCTTTGCATAAAGCAAACTTCTCTAACAGAAGTTATTCAAAAGAGGAATGAATCACACCAGCAAGTAAAAGTTCGTGCAGACGCTATGGGATCTTCAGTGAAGGACGTCCCCTCTGAATTGAGGGGACCTGCAATGCACAGGGTGCTTGGTCAAATCATCTTCCTCAAGGTCCCTAAAAATCTTTTCAGAAATCTGCCCTATCCTTCTCCCTCCCTAAAAGCAGATTGTGGGCTGGCTCATTTCCAACCCTCCACCACTGCTGACCACTTTCTATCACCAGCCCTCACTCTCTTTTACCCTCTATCTCCGCATGTCCATATGTCTACCCTAAGCTGGAAAAACACTCATTTATCCTGTGATCCCATACTTCAATTTTTCTCCACCTTTTGCTACCGAACATGTCCTCTCTCCCAGCACTCTCACAAAAGACTTTAGTCTACCACTCTACAAAAACAAAAAATAAGACCACTGACAAATGGCATCAGGTTTACTGACAGCTCCTTCCAGCTGCTATTGAATCAGTTCTCCTTTCCCTTGAGCTCTTCCACAGCTCCTGACAGAAACTGACTAGCCTCTACTTACTGCAGTTTTTTTACTTTTGTAATGCGACAGAGCAGTCAAGAAAATCAAAAGACCTGTGTTCTAGACCCAACTACACCGCTAATTAGCTATGAGCCTCCCCACCTCCACCCATCACCCTTCAGATCTCACTTCTGTTACCCTGACACAGATGAGATTAAGTCGCTCCAGCATACAATTTCTCAAAACCTATTTTCCTTTATAGTGCTTATCACAGCTACTTAATTATATAATTAGTTAAATGGCTAGCTCTCCTGCATGAAGGTAGAGAACACATGCCTTGCACCTCGGCAGTAAAAAAAAAATAAAAACCCACTGATTGAGCTGATATCGGAACAGATGGTAAGATCGTGTCCTAAGAGTCTGCTTACATTACCTTTACTAACCTAATAAAATTGCCAGCACTTATTTGCTTACAAAATTACTGACAAACTTTAAACAGAAACTTCACCTAATACCTCAAACACACATATGACAATCTATATATAAATTTACATATAACATTAAACAAGAGGAGGAACTTGTTTTCCAAAACAGTTACATTTCCCTTGCCCATCTCCACGAAAAGTGAGAGATCAGTTACATACATTTCAGGTTCAAAAGGTGTGTCCTAAAGTCTGTATAAGGGAATGTTCAAGTACACACTACGACACAGTGATGCTAATTTGACATTAACACTTTGCTTATGTAGCTGTTTATATAATACACACTTCAGTTTTAAAGGTATTCTTTACCCAGTGGCAAAAGTCATGAGCTATACATCTACAGATATATGTACATACATACGTATACATGTCCACATTTCCTAAGAAAACCAAGTTTATCAGCCAAATTACACTGAAATGAGATTTCAAGCATTATTTCCTATTATCCAGGGAACAAGTGCTGACACCCCAATTACATGTTGCTATTGTGCCTGACCACATGACTTTCAATGTGCAAATTCACATCTCACGAAAGTGAAAGTTTCGTCAAGTTTTATGATCCCACACCTTGGTCAAACAATGTTAACAGAGTACATGCTAATTCGCCCTTCAACTGCTGTGTCCGCTCCTCAACTATATGGGAAGGCTGGGCGTTTTCTTAATTGGCCCCCTGAAACAGGAACAGGAATGCAGGTGATTCCAGTAATCCATGAAATGCAAAAAAAAAAAAAAAAAAAAAAAAAAAAGCTGTGAGGTTCAGAATATTTCTGCATTGCCACTTGAAAATAATGTGCAAGGACTTCAAGTCAGAAGGGTGGACAATTCCCTAGGTCAAGGGTGGCCAGCAGGCTGTAAATACAGTTGTAATCCTCAGGAAGGAAGCCTTTCATAACGGAAACACTAAAAGACCGAATAATCACTTGGAGCCGCTCTCCTGGGCGTCCTCATGGCTAAGTCAACAACACGGATCGCGGGGGTCCGGGGGGGGGGCGTGACACCCCCGCCCTCCCGCACACTCCAGTCCCTGCGCGGAGACTCCCGACACCGGGCAGCTCTTCCTGGGGACATCAAAAGCTGGGTGCGCCCCCCCCCGTGTCCCTTACGACTGGGAGACCGGGCCTAGGGAGCGCAAGCCCCCTCCTCCTTCCTTTGCTAAGAATTAATGAATCGGCCGCGCGATTGTTTATTTAATGAGGTGTGCAGTGGCCTCTACTGGTGCTTGTGTGAGCACAAGAATGTCCCACTCTTACAAGTGGGATGCGCCTGGGGGAGGGGAAGGCGGCGAGGGGTGAACCTGCCTCCGCCTACAAAGCGCAGAACCGGACACGGGACCCCCCCCGGCCCTGCCCGGGGCGGCGTCCCCTCCCCTGCCCCCGCTCCCGCCAGCCCGCCCGCTCTCACCACGAGAACCCCCCACCACCACCTTCCACCTCGGCGGGAGAGCCGAGGCCGAGAAGTTCCCGCACGTTTCCTCCGGGACCTAAACAAAAACCCCCGCAGCCGCCCGGTGCCGCGCCCCGCGCCCCGCGCCCGACCCCCGCCGCGCCCCCGCGCCCCGCGCCCCGCGCTTACCTGCGGACTGCGGCGGGGAGCCGCTTCTGGCCGCCGCGGCCGGGCGCCCGAGCAGCAGCAGCAGCAAGAAGCAGCAGAGCCAGGAGGAGGAGGAGGTGCCGCGGAGCCGCCGGGCTCCCAGCTCCGCCGCCATCTCTTCCCCGCAAGCGAGTGGCGGCGGCGGCGGCGGCGACACGGAGCGCTCGCCTCCTTCCCTCCGCGCGCCTCGGCCGGTCTTTCGCTGCGGGCTCGGCTCCCGCCGCCGCCGCCGCCGCCGCTTCAGCCCGGCCCGGCCCGGCCCGCGCGGCCCCTCTCACGGGAGGGGAGACTCGGGGGCGCCTCCTTCCTGCAATGGGGGGGCTGGGGGGCGGAGAGGGAAGGAGAGCAGAAAGGGGCGTCAGGACATCCCGGGGCCGGAGAGGGAGGAGGAAGCAGGGGGCGGCTCGGTCTCCAGGTTCCAGGCGCCGCCACCCGCCGCCGACTCCGGCTCCACACACCACACACACCAGCGCGAGGGGGGCGGAGACGGCGGGCGGCGGGGTGGGGGCGGGACCGGAGGGGCGCGCGCACGGCGCAGGCGCGCGCGCGCGCCTCACTCCTCCGCTCTCCCTCCCCGTCCCACCCCGCCCCCTCGCCGCGCCGCGCCGCGCCGCGCTTCCCGCTCCAATCCCGGCGGCCGCCTCGCGGGCCGTGGCGCGAGAGCCAGCGGCCGGCCCGCTCCCCTCCCCCTCGGCTCCTGCTCGAAGCCGCGGACGGACGCGAGGCGCGCGCCGGGCTCCGCGGCTGCTGCTGGCGTCAGGGAAACCCCGGAGAAGCGGATCCTCCTCCCGTCCCTCGCCGCGGGGGGAAATCCACCTCCCCTCACCTCCGCGGACGCCTCCGGGTGCGAAGACCTGAGAGCCTGGGGCGCCGGGAGCCCAGGCTGATCCCGGAGGCCCGAGCGGCGCGCGCCTCTGCTCAGCCCGGGCCCGGGGCCTCTATATAGGGCCTCGGAGGAAGCTGAATGGCCTCCGGGAGGAAGCCTGGGTGCGCAAGGGTCGGCGCGGGGATTTATGTGCTCGCCAAAAACAATAGCGAGCCCGCCCGGCGCTAGCGGGGATCTGGCGCGGCTCCCGTGGGAGGACGGGGCGGAGCGCGCCGCGCTGACCTCGGCTTCCAGGGAACCGGCCCCGGACAAAGGTGCCCGATGTCCCCCACCGCCCCCATCCGGCCTGCGCGGGGCCCGGGCGCGCCCCGTGACTCCCCTGGGATAACTCTGGGTGCAGCCGTCCCCCTTCCTGCGCCCTTCACCTGCGGGCCACTGGCACCGCTGCACCTGGGGGCCGGTTTTAAACCCCTTGGTGATGGTGAGGCTGCCCCGAGCTACCCAAAGTTAGGAGAAAGCGGTTTGCACTTAGCTCCCCTGCGGGCGAGATGTGGATCGCGTCAGGAGCTGCGCCCATGGAAAATTTTTTAAACATCTCTTTGTATAGAGAGCTACGTTTGGTCGCTGTTACCAGCTGGACTTGTTACTCACTCTTCTTTATGGTCAATAACCAAGATGCCTGGCTTTCTACACGAAAATGGCTGTTATTCTAAATGCCCTATGCCTTCTCTAGTTACTTTCTTCAGATATTTTTATTTTATCCCCAAGTGCCAAAATAAACAAGATAAGGCGTGGATTAATATTGTCAGGGAAGAGCTCAGGAATTTCACATAAACCCTTAAATCACCAAAAACAGTAAAATTAGGAACCTTAGGCCCAATTCTCTGAAACAATTAACTTTTAAAAAAGCAAGCACGGGCTCTTTGTTTTCCACTAGGGGAAACAATTAAAATAGCTTTTTGTTTTGGTTAGAGTTACTAAGCAGAAAAAAATATTTCCTAAATACCTCTGATTGACCTGCTAAATTAGAAGTAGATTAGTTCCCAATTACTTCACAAGTATTTGCTTAATTAACCTTCAATAATCACATCGTTATTCAGTTTCGGAGATAATTAATGAGAAAGCTCTTTGGAAACTATAAATTGCCTTGCAAATGTTAATTTTCGGCTTTTTTAAGGCTGGATTTTTTTCATTACATTAAATGTGTAATATAACTTCTAAAGTGCAGCTTCCATCTATTTCCAAGTTTTGAAAAACATGAATTGTGGCAAATGGCACCTTTATTCTTGTATGACTTCCCATGAACTGTCTCATTATCAACCTGCACTGTATATTAAGTTTATATTAAAATTTTAAAGCACTTTCTGTAAAATAAGGTGACTAAATCGTGTATCTCTGACTTGTGATTAAATCAAACTTTTCATAGAAGTCAGTTTAAAAAACCACTAGTAGGTGGAGCCTCAGATAAAAAGTTACAGATGCTAAATCGGCTCCAGAGTAAGGTTGGAAAGTAGCTCAGCCACATCAGTTTAGATTCTTTACATCATGTCAGTGTTACTCTCATCCCCTTTTTAAAATCATTTGGCATCATTAAACTCTCCTTTGTTTAGTAAGGCATAGCTGAGAAAAGTTTTGGGTTTTTTTTTTTTTTTTAACGGCATCTCATTCTTCATTCTCATTGTCCAGAACAAGATTTTCACAAATACCCACTCCACAACTACACTGCTAAGCAACATATTTTTATGTAAGTCTAAACTGTTCATCTATGAAAAGTTATTAAACCATCGCTGAAATTAACACTTTTTTTCATCTAAGTAAAGTTAGAAAATGAGGCCCATGTTCAAGGAGTGCGCACAAAGAAACTTTACAGCAAAGAAAACAGTGTGGCCATTGTATGTTAGTGTAAGTTATCAGAGTGCAGGCCAAAAATAACTAGACCAAATATTCTTGTGAAATTTATTCTAAGTGTATTTTGATAGGAAAAAAATTAAAGCCCATGAATATAAAACTTGGTAGGAATCTTCTCTGAAGTAAAAGGATTATTTTTTTCCAGCATTAGAGAGGCAATAGAATACTTTAATGAGATTCTGCAGCTGATGATGCTTGGCTGAACCCCAGTCTCCAAGATAGAAGCAAGCTAGCACCTGACTAGCAGACCCCAGGGTAGAACCCTTCCTACTTCCAGCAGATTTCAACTAGAAGTTACCCATGCCTTCAGAACACGATTTTCATCTGCACAGACGTTGGTATTTTTACATTTGCCCTTTCTATTCCACTAGGTAAGAATTTTTTTTCTCTCCCTCTTTCGAAAACCACCTGTTTTAGGGAGCCATCTCTGATTAATCCTAATTTAAAATGACATGTACTCCTTAAGGATAAAACCTGCACAATATTAATTTTGTTTGATATGTGCAGCTTAGTAATCACATCTCTTTTGTCCAGGAACAATCTACTAATTCAACAGATATTGCTGAGAACCTATTTTTACCAGGTATTGTGCTGGATACTGGGATAACAGAATTATTGGTTCACATTCATTTAATATTTATAAAGCACTTACAGTATCTTGGGTCCTGCCCTATGTTAAGAAAACACAATGATGAGCCTGATTGCCAAAAGTTCCCAGTCTAGCAGAAAACATAAACAATTATAACACAGAAGTGTGAAGACTGTTAGGTTAAGGAATGATAAGGAGTGTGGGAAAACATAGTAAGAGCATCTAACCTAACTAAATTCGGGGTAGGGGTGGGGGTTAGGGAATTATAGAAAGAAGAAGCATTGGCCTCTAAACTAATGGCTGAAGCTAGGTCCCAGTTAGCCACTCCTTCAGTGGGAATTGATCTCAGAATTACATTTTAGAAGAATCACTTGGGCTACTTTTTGGAGTGTAGGTTGGAAGGAGACAAGACCAAGAAAACCAGTTCTGGTTGTCACAGTAGTCTAGGGAGAAGATAATGGTGGCCTGGAGGGAATTAAGAGAAATGAACAGATAAGAAAGATTAGGAGATAGGGCAGATAGAAACAGCAGGATTGAGAGGGAAGGGGGAGGAATTGGGGTGACTCAGATTTCAGCTTGGGCAGTTGAACGAAGGTGGCACATTCACTGAGGGGAACAAGGAGGAGCAAACAGATTTTGAACAAGTCAGATTTAAAATTCCTATTGGACATCCAAGTACAAATATCATTAAACTATTAGCTATATGGTCTGGAGTTTAGCAGGGAGATAGGACTGGAGAGATGAACCATTGGCGTATATGCCTGGGTATAAGGTGAGTCTCCATTTTTCTAACTAAAATCCACCCTTTCAATAAAATTTTGTGACCAAGTTGTATATATAAACTTTTGGAGGTATAACTGAAACAATCAGGGCTCCATTACATTTACTGCATTAATTTAATTTTACTTACTTCAAATTATATATTATGAACCTATACCTTTCAAAACAATTTTAGTGAAACTCCTCAGACTGTCTGTCATCACTAGAGTCACTTTTGAGTCTCTGTTGTGCTCTACCACTTAAGCCATGCCCCCAACCCTTTTGCTTTAGTTATTTTTCCTGTAGGTGTTTTTTTCTGCAATCCTCCCAATCTCTGCCTCCCAAGTAGCTGGAATTACAGATGTGAGCCACCACCCCAGCCTCACCTAAGTTTTTGACTCTATCTTTGATGCTGGCACTGGGAATTTTATTCCAAGCCACAAGTATCTAATCACACTACATCATCCTGCTTGCTTTTAAAGCAATATGATTGCTTAAATGGGACTTTTAAAGACCCGTTGACAAGGACATCCAACACTTGCAAGTGTGAAGGTATTTTCCTCGAAGTAATTTCCAAATCTGTGTTAAATTTATTTCCTTCCTTCCCAATCCTGTCAGGTGGTTTCTACTTGACCACTGAATGAGATCATTTTGTGCTGATGTGTATCCCACCAAAAGACTTTGTTCAAAATCACTGAAAGAACCCAGTAATATGAAGGATGTTTCAAGGGTTCAAGTGTAAGATGGCCCCCTCTTTTCTGAGGAATTATTGGGGGAGGAGGGCTCTATCTTATATTTGATATATACAGTAATACCAAGATTGTAGTTTGAAATTGCTACTGGAGAGTTTAAGAGGAAAGAAGACTGGAAATCAGGACTGAAGAGTGAGGCCTAAGACCCATCTAGAGGAACAGCCATGTGTTGAAGGTAAAAAGAAACTTGCAGAGAAACAAGCAGACATGTAAAAACAATCCCAGGAACACATGGTGTCACAGCAGCCAAGAAAGTGTTTCTGGAATATAGGAGTTATTATTTCTATCACGTGGTACTGAAAGTTCAAGTAAGTTAAGACCTGAAAACCACCCATTGAACTTAGCGATGAGGTAGGAGGTCAAGGGCGTTACCAAGTACAGTTGCAGCAGAGAGTGAGGCTGGTGGCAGTGGCTTTGTACTGGGTATGAACAACTTCTTCAAGAAGTCTACTTGTGGGGTGACTTTGGACGTCCGCACAGGCTGGTAGTAGAGGGTGTTTAGTCTCTGGCCCGATAAGAGTATTCTAGCTTTTCGGACCACAGACCTTTGCTGCAAACATGCTCCGCCAGATCGTCAGCCAGGCTAAGAAACATCCGAGTTTGATCCCCCTCTTCGTGTTTATTGGCGCTGGAGGTACAGGAGCAGCACTGTATATGATGCGTCTGGCATTGTTCAATCCAGATGTCAGTTGGGACAGGAAGAATAACCCAGAACCCTGGAACAAAGTGGGTCCCAATGAGCAATACAAGTTCTACTCAGTGAATGTGGACTACAGCAAACTGAAGAAAGAAGGCCCAGACTTCTAAGTCAAATGCCTCACTATAAAGCTGCTTAAAATGAAGGTCTTTCAGAAGCCATCCGCACAATTTTCCACAGAAACAGGAAATATTTCTCCTCTGAATGCATGATATCATGTTCATTTGTTGGATTTATTACACTGAATAATAAATCTCTGAAACTTGATGTGTGTCACTGATTAATGCTAAAAGTCTGCTCTGAACTTTATAATGAGGATGTGGAAAATAAATTTAGAATTTATAGAATTTCTGTAATTTCCTTGTATTTGTGTAATTGAAAATGAAACTTTAAGCTGCTTAAATAAAACTTTGATTTTGTGTGCAAAAAAAAAAAAAAAAAAAAGAAGTCTACTTGTAATTGAAAGACAAAGTGGGTAAGCCTAGAATGTTAGGAGGGGAGTGGGTTTAAATGCTGATGTAAGGAAAAAATAAAGGGAAGTGTTAAAGATCTGAGAGAGAGAGACGATAAGTAATTGATAGCTTTAGAAACAGTGCAGTAGATAATTTGACAATTGTGATTCACAAGATCCATGATTACCTGACCTCAGTAGTTTCAGGTGACTGGCAGCAGGCTAAAGGACTTCACAGCACAAAGTTACACCCTGGCTTTGTGGTTTCCGGGCACTTTTCAGCTGTATTTGAGCATGTTTGGTTCTCACAGCATCTTAATGAAGACTAAAATAAAAGACATCCTCATACTTGCCACCTACTCCCCTAAAATTCTGTTCTCAAAGGACACACGATTAGGTCCCAACAGATAGCAGTCAAAACAAGGCACCCCAGCTTTCCCACAAGATTGACTGGCAGGAACGTGGTTGCAAGCAAGGGAAACCCAACACAATATACTATCTTAAGCAGAAAGACGTTTTACTAGAAGGACAGGGATGCAGCTGGGCCTCAGGAATGGAACTGGAGGCTGAAGAACCTGGAAAGAACCCAGAAGTTCTTTTGTAGTCTCTTGTCTCTGCCTCTCTGGGAATATGCCAAAACCTTATGCTTATTACAGAATGGCTCTCTGTGTGTCCTGGTCCACATGACAGTAAGTGGCCACTGCCAGTGTCCAAGTGACTCTGGTAATGGTCCAATTCTGAGTCCCAATTGCAAATTTCCAAAGGAACTGATTGACTGCCAGTATTACTTTAGGTACCCACCTGAAACCGCTAAGGAAAGCCAGCCCGTGAAGAGTGGCAATACAGCAGCCCCACTGCAACCAACCAGTAAATAAAGGAGGACCATGCAATTCATGGAAATGAGGTGTCAGTAGGGAGATTTAACAGGTATCTATTGAATCTATGTTGTATTTGTCACTTCATCCCAATGCCCAACCTGGTATCTGGTACTTAATATTTGTCTAGAGAATCAATATTTAGGGTTGATATAAGGTTTTTGAGTCGTGGACGAGATTTTGGTATCAGGCCAAGGAATTTGCTTGCAGGGGAGGAGCCACAAAAGACGGCAAAGATATATATGTGCAGACAGTTTTATAGATGAGAGGATACAGAGGTTATCCACAGAATAAGCTGGAAGATCCTTGCCACAAGAAGAGGAGAACAGGCATCATAAGTGCTTAAAAAGGATGGAAAGTGTCTGGAAGAGTCACAGCCGGGATTAGGGAGGGAACTGTATAAGGGTCCAGCTTTACTAGTAATGGTACCTTTGTGACTGTTCATCACATGGTAAGAGGAGAGAAGGTAGATATTTGGATTGACACAGAGCTGAAGATGTCTAGGAGTGAGTGAAGAAGTTAAAAAAAAAAAAAGGCTAGGATTGAGAGACTTAAGGATGCTGAACAGAATTATTCCAGTGACAAGCCATGTGGTTTAGATAAAGAAAGAAAGAAATCCAGAATGGGCAGAATGCCCAGGAAAAATGAGGGTGTCCAGGAATTGAAGCACTCAAGAAGATAGAAGAGTAGATGTACTATTATAAGAGGCCAGAGTAGAAAAAATAGAAGGTTGTGTATTGACACTAGGATGTTGAAGTTTACTCCTTCAGAAGAGTTGAGGAAGCGAGAAACTTTTAGATATCAGTGGAGCATCACTTTTTGATCCATCAAAAGTTGTCTGTTTTGGAAATGTTCAAGACGTCCTTGGTGCCCTGAACTTGAATCCATCCAGTTGTCTGTCACTGAGCTTGTGTGTGATATGCACACACCATGAAGCTGCTTTTACATGGATTTTAGTTGGCCAAAAAGAGAGGTTACCAGAGGACAAATGGCCTCCTTATTCCAAGCTGTGACTCCCCCACTCCCCTTACAGTCTTCTTTCCAACACTAGAGAGCTGAACTTGATAGCATGAAAACTCAAGAACCTCATGGATTTCTTTAGCTTATTTATGGTTTATAGAAAGGCTACCTTTGTTGTGGTTCCCTTCTCGTACATAGCCCTGCTGGGTCATCCTGTGCTGCAAAACTCCCAAGAAACAGCCTCGACCTTCCCACTAATTGGGAAACAAAAATAAGAGTTCCCCTACAGAGGGAATCAGGAAGAATTCTGCTTTATATTGATCTTTTTCTACCCTGTGTATTGCCATGCTGTCCCCTCCCAGGTGTAGAAGGTAGTGGGAACAGAGAGGGAAGAGGGCAGGGGCAGTGTGGCTAAAAGATAAGTCATCCCCAGAGCAAAAAAGTTGCCCACAATGGCAGGGGATGTGCTTTGAATCTGTTAGGAGCTTGGTGCCTGGTGTGGTGTTATTGGAAGGTAGTATGGAGCCTTTAAGAGGTGGGACCTCGTGGGAAATAAATAGATCATTGCCCTCAGAAGGAATTGCTGTAGTTCTTGTGAGACCGTGGCAAGTTATCAGGGGATGGTTGTTGTAAAAGAACAAATCTGACCCTTCTCCTGTCCTCTCTGGTTATCTTGTCATATGATCGCTCCCTTTCAACATACTCCTGGTATGATCCCATCTACCACAATGTGATGAAGCATGGGGGATGGGGGGAATCCGCACAAGAGCCAGAGTCATGCAGCCTCCAAAACTATAAATTAAATAAACCCTTTTCTTTATAAGTCTCTTGAGAGCTTGTTTGGAGGTTCTAGCAGGGGAGCGCAGCTACTCGTACACCCTTGACCGAAGAACGGTCCTCCTCTATCGGGGATGGTCGTCCTCTTCGACCGAGCGCGCAGCTTCGGGAGGGACGCACATGGAGCGGTGAGGGAGGAAGGGGACACCCGCCTAGCCAGCCAGATCAGCCGAATCAACCCTGGCGATCAATGGGGTGACAGATGTCGCTGCCAGATAGCCTTCACATCCTTTATAAGTCTCTTTATGAGTATTTTGTTACAGGAAAGAAAAACTGACAAGAACACATGAAGTGGTAGAAGAGGAGTGTAAGCCACTTTCCACTTAAGACACCTGAGGAGTGACTCAGAAGTCAGAAGAAAAAGAAAAAGTAAAATAGACACTGAACTGGCCCCATGTGATATGGCCTGAATGTTTATCTCTGTCATTTATATGTTGAAGTGATGGCATTAGAAGGTGAGGCATTAAGAGGTGACTAGATCTTGCAATTAGAGGCCCCAGAGAGCTATCTTGCTCCTTCCACCATGTGAAGACACAAAAAGAAGGTACCATGTATGAGAAAGTGGGACTTCAGGAAACATCAAATTTGCAAGCGCCTTATTCTTGAACTGTGAGAAATAAATTTCGCTGTTTATAAGCCACCAAATTTATGGCATTTTGTTATAGCACCTGGAACAGACTGAGACCATGGTTCTCAAAATCAAACATAATTCTTGGTTTGCTGGGTTTTGGCCAAAAATGTCAGTGAAACAGTGGGGAAACAGCAGGTGTGGGACACTGTGGACAGTAACACCACCTACTGGTCACAGCAATCGAGGTGGCAGAAGTGGCCTTAGGAGTCAGGTGATAGAGGGAATGCCTGTGCAGGCCTGGGAAACAGAAGCATTTGTTACAGTCTGGTGGGACTTCCAGGGCATAGAGGAAATGGTGGGATAGGAAGGTCAGCTCAGGAGCTTGCATCTGTAGCAAGAAAGCATAGGACAAGTACACAGGACAATGACTGCTAAGATGAGGGGTTCCGACTTGGGGCTGAGTGTATTGCAGTGAGAACTACAGACTGTAAGGAACCCAGCCGGATGCAGCCTTTGGTGTCTGGGTCAGTAGGTAGAGGCGCCAGGGGCAGAGGTGGCCACTCTGGTGGCTCTAGATTCTCCCACACACCCTCAGGGGGACAGCTAAGCACTTCAGCAGCTGGAGCCATAGGGTAGGACTAGTGACCCCCTGGCAGGTAGGGAGAGGTTTCTTTGCCTACCAGCTCAGGTTGCTGATCCAGGGAGGGCCCTTAGACCTTACCTCCTCAAATAGAGACTCCCTAAGAACTATGTTTACAACACACAGAGATTCCTAGGTCTCACCACCTAATCCTCTTGAATTAGGAATTCCCAGGATGAGCCCTAGGAATGGTATTTCTGAGAAATACCTGATGCTGCAGAATTTCTATAGAGGAGGTAGTGTAGCTGGATGTCAGAAGTCAGCAAAATATGCTGGTGTTTAGTACAGTGACTTATAGGATTATCAGCTTTATAGAGTTTTGTACTCTTAAGTCTAAATTTATCTGATTATACTAAAGACAACATACAACACTAGCTTCTAATTCCCTGTATTTAGCAGTTTTGATTCCCATTCTCTTCTTCCAATTGGCCATTGTTTTAATTTGAAATTGTCCCCTCTTACCATTGGTGATTTAAAAAATCTGCCTCTTTGATGTGGCATTTATCAAACTTTCCAATATTAAAAAAATGCATGTTATAGAATACCTGGGAATGCCCAAAAGTAGATAGAGGAGGAAAATCACCTGTGTTCCCTTTTCCTACACCATTCTTAGTGCTTGCTGGTATCTCCTTCCATCTTCATTTCTCTCCACAGCTTCTTTTTTTATGTATATATCTGTAATCATAATATGCAGTCACATGCCACTTAATGCCAGGGACATAGCCTGACAAATATACCTTTAGGTGTTTTTGTCATTGTGTGTACATCGTGGAGTACAATTACACACACTTAGATGGTGTGATCTACTATACACGTAGACTATCCAAAGTGTGTGCATGTGTGCGCACATATGTGTATTCATACATACATATATATCTCATAGTCTATTACTCCTAGGGCCATGACGACTAAAACATAGTGAGATTTAATCAAGCACAAGAGAAAATTATGCCAATCAGAGACACAGTAAACATGAAACGTGTGAGCCTGCTGCGGAGGACATCCTAAAATAGCAATAAAAGTTAGTATAGTAAATGTCGTGGATATAGGGAGCCGTGAGTTTGTTAAAGAATCTACC